ATGTAATATTCTAATTTTCTGAGATTGCGGATTTGGGGTTTTCATGAGCTGTAAGCCATAATCATCACAATTATGACAAATCACGGCTTGAACTATCTTGCTTTGCATGTAATGAGTCTATCTCATATATTAGTTTCACCTTTTAAGTTGCATTACAGAAATGAACTTTTGCACGATATTCTAATTTTTCAAGTTTCACCTGTATATGCGGTATGGTATATCGGATGTGATTCACGCAAGAACCGCACTGCATTCCTCTGCAAATTACATGCGATTTGTGTGTGGTGCGATTGGAGCTATACATTTTGTACGGCTCTAATTGCACCGCACCTGCACCAAAAACATGCAGGACCCTTTTTTGGGTCCGCACTAAAATTGGATCGCATGGGTATTCACACCTATGCGATTCAATTCTGCACATTGCATTTTGCGGACCACTTTCAGGGTGTTGTTAACATACACACCCGCAGCGGTTCGCACGAACTGGGTACAATTCTGATGCAGTTGATGTTGCGAATTCCATACCGCATCAATGTGAACCAGGGCTAAGACTGGCCATACACTAGACAATTTTCTTGAGATTTAGATTTACCAAAAACCATATAATATGAGGTGAAACCTGAACAACACTTTCAATTGTACCCAATTTTGCAGGCACTTGCACTACATAGTTGAAGGTAAATCTAAAGAAAATTTGGCAGAAATTGGACAGAAAATTGTATAGTGTATGGCCATGATTACCTCTTGCACACGGGCGAAAAAAAAAATGCATATTTGTAGCTGTTTGGCACTTTTTATACATAGATATGAGCACAGGCACGTTGTTGTGTAAGGATCAGAGATACAACGATGCATTCTGAGCAGTAAAAAAAATTGAAAATTGGCATATTCAGTGCTATAAATTACTTGTGTATGTGCAAGTACATACAAGTGTATACATTTAAATCGAAACTTTAGAAAAGGATTAGGAAGAATTGTATGCTTGTATACATGCTTGTACAGGTGTATATGCAAGCTCATTATCCTAAACCTATAAACATCAGTAAATGATTCTGTATGTGTGTAAGAGGCCCAATGGCTTGTTTAGACTTGTGGTGGCCTCTGAAGAGCTACCCATGGTGGATGGCTGTTCAGAGGGTGTTTAAAAGCAGCGGAGCGATTATGTCACCACCTCACTGGCTGTTTTACCCCCTAAAAACCTGAACCATGTTGTCCCAATTGTGGGAATTGCACATGGTTGTGGGGCATTTACGTGGTTGTGTTTCATGGTCAGTAGTGCCAGCCAAATGCGGAAGAGGGATAATTTTTTCAACGCATCGTGGTGTTCACCTCTGTCCACTGTCTTTACAGTTAGAGCAGAACTTCATGCCTAAGAGGAAGTTCTGCTTTTCTGCCTCCTCCCTCCTCTACCACTTTTGGAAACTTTTTTTTTTGTGGGGGGGAGTGGGTACTTAGTCTTGATAGTTACCCACTCACACTTCTGCTTGGATTGCCTAGGCCAGGGGTAGGCAACCCGCAGCTCTCTAGCTGTTGTGGAACTACATTTCCCATGAGGCATTGCAACATTACAAAACTGACCGTTACAGCTATGACTTGCAGAGGCATGATGGAACTTGTAGTCCTGCAACAGCTGGAGAGCCGCAGGTTGCCTACCCCTGGCCTAGGCGATCCACGCGGAAGTTCCCCCAACCCCATTGCTGCAGCCTTCTGGGATGCGTCACAGATGGCTGTGGGATGATTCACCAAGCTCGGTGCACAGTGGAAAGGCTTCTCATAATAAACATGCCAGCATCAGGGAAGTGAAAACTGGTAAAAAATCGTCCTGGGTGAGGACGGCTTTGGATCCCTGTATAGGTAAATATCTTTTATTTAAATTCAGCAGCTACTAGATTTGCTGACTTTTAATTTTTCTTTCTGGGGGTGGGGACTAAAGCTCCTCTTTAAGAGGGAGTATCAAAAACGTGCCACAACCACGTGTTTTTACTGCCCCTCACCCAATAATGTAAAGAGGCCTAGAAGGTAGATTTGGTATAACGGGTTTAATAAACAAAAGCATGCAGCATGTGGTAATTCCTAGATGGCTGCAGTTCAGCAGAGTACACTCCTGGAAGTAAACCAATGATTTTATGTGTTATTTTGTTGTGTCATCTTGATAGGCGAAATACAGTTCTCTGTTTTTGTTTCTTTCTCTTTGGTCTTGGCAACGTGTGATCCTCCGATAAACAAGTGTGTCGGCTCACTGAGAGTGAATAACTGGAAAAGTCCGATAGCTGGGAGGACGCAGGACCAGCTACTGAGTCTGCAGTTTGCAGCGTTTATCTCACAATCCAGAGCAGGGCAGGATGTGAATCCTCTCTACAAAAATATCCACGTCTTTAACTCAGAGCAGAAATGGATCATTTTTCATTTTTCACAGGCTTTGCTGTGTTTTGATTCTTCTATTTGTTTTTTTTTTTTTTGTGCTGTGTCATGAATGACACTGCAAAAAGCATCAATTTAAATATATTTTGCTGTGATAGCTTTGACCAATTGCATGTTATGTTTGTCAGCAAAGGAGGGGGATGTGTCTTCTGTATAATCCGATGTTGTCCTTTCTTTATGTGATTTTTATTTATACGGACACTTTATGGAGGACAGCTCTATAAATTGCTTCCCTGTTTGTACAATGAATATTATCAGTGTAGGCTTGGCAGTGAGTAACAATACCAGAGCTTCGTCTTTACTTCCACATTACATGGATGTTATGCTGCTAGTACCTATCTAACGGGGAGAGTGTGAAGTGCCTATGTGTTACCGCTAGTTCCTTTACTAATTACTATCAATATTATTAGAGGTTCTTATGTAGTGCCTTCAATGTACACAGCGCTTTATATATATTGTACATTCACATCAGTTCCTAAACCCTCAAGGTGTATACAATCTAAGGTCCCTAACTCATATTCATACATACACATACTAGGGCCATTTTACACAGGATCCAATTAACCTACCAGCATGTCTTTAGAGTGTGGGAGGAAACCGTAGTACCCGAAAGAAAGAAACCCACGCAGGCACAGGGAGAACATGCAAACTCCAGGCAGGTGATGCTGTGGTTGGGATTCAAACCAACAACCCTTGTACTGCCAGGCGGAAGTGCTAACCATTTAGCCACTGTGCTGCCCTGTGCATAATGCATATAGGGGCTAATGCATGAAAGTGTACTAACAAGAAGCTTTTGTATTGACTATGTCATCCCTTCAGAATCCCTGTTTCATTGTTTCATGGTCTACGTGAAGCTGATTGGTTGTTCACTGGCAACATGGCTTATTCTTGCAGTTTATTACATACCAACGACCCTAATACTGCCAGGTGGAAGTGCTAACCATTTAGCCACTGTGCATTCAGTTAAATGCTTGCCTATAGCAGTGAAATTCACTGCTATAGGCAATCATAAAGTGTAAAAAAAAAAATAAATAAATAAATACAACTACTGATTATTTCCCTATGGTAGTACAGTGTTACTATGGTATGTTACTCTGGTCACAGTGTTTTATGAAAAAAATCCTAAATAAAGGGAAACAAAAGTTTTATATATAATTTTTTTTTTCTTTGCATGGTCACCAATCAGTATCCCTGATCACCGCCACACCAATTATATGATGATGCTGTACTGCATAGTGACCGTATGTGGGAAAAAAATGCCTTGCCTCTTACGAAATACCGCAGACTGTCTACTTTCCAAAAAAGGGATAATTTAGGGGATATCTGTACTGTCCTGACATTTTTGGCCTCAAGAAATGAGATCCGTTCCGTCAGTACATCAGAACTGACTTTTATATATATACTATAGTTTGTGGACTCTATAACTTTCCTACAGCCTTGCATTTTTCTGAATTATTGCAAAGTATTCTGATTGGATGAGCGAGCGTGGTGTCGCCGCACCATCTCTCCACCTCATCCAATCAGAGAACACCTTGCATTCATGTATAGCATTCTGAGTAACTGACCAGGTGACTGAGCTCCTGTGTTCTCCTGTGATCACTGAAGGTAGTAGCAGTGTCTACTTCAGTGGATTTAAGTTTCCAGTGACTTTGGCTAGGTATGTCATATACTGTAAATATTTACATTGGTCCAAGCTGGACCAATGTAACTATATATAACATGCCAATACCTGGAATTATTCTTTAACACGTCAAGGGAAATTTATCCGAACTGGAGCAGCTGTATAATGCAACCAATCGGCTTCTCTCTTTCATTTTCAAAGCTTTACTTAAGCTGAAGATGGATGCTTATTGGTTGCCATACACAGCTCCTCCAGATTGCCTCAATTGAACACTAAAAAATAAACATGCCTCAGCAAACTATTTTGTTAAAATTCTTACCTCAGCACTTGCAGTTTACAACTTTAATTGCTACATGCTCATGATCTCTCAGAGCTGCTTCCCTAAACTCACAGTATTCACATGAAATTGTTAAAAATGGACAATGCTGTCTCCTGCAGGGATGAGCTCAAGTGTGTTCAGGTCTTAGTCCAAACGCATGTGAACAACTCCACCAGGAAGCTTCACAGGAAAGAGTTAACAATGGACAGTGCAATCTAAAGTCTTCGTAGCCAGCCTGAAGAAGGATGAGCAGGGGAGGGCCCTGTCATCCTAGGCTATGGGACTGTGTGTTTCTATTGCACAAAGTGTAGGGAGACAACTCTCTAGTCCTTGCATGCAAGTGTGACGCCATAAGATGCTGCAGGAAAAAGGAGCCACCCTTAAACAGGAAACCGGGGAGAGTGGCCATGGCACCAACTTAAACTGGAACAGAGGCAAGGATTAAAATATAAAGAAGCTGCATACTTGATGAGTGATTAAATCCATTGCTCAAAAAACTGAGTTTAACATCGCTAAGTTTGCTTGCTACACCAATTCACAAAGGTCACTTACATTATAACAGTTCACAGTTGCATGTTTTTTTTTTTTTATATGTGCCATCTTTCCTTATGTAACTCTTTTTCTTTCTAGTCACAAACCATGAACTATGTTGGGCAACTGGCCGGGCATGTCCTGGTTACTGTGAGGGAACTGTATAAAGGAATCAACCAGGCTACCCTTTCAGGCTGCATTGATGTGATTGTGGTCCAGCAGCAAGATGGAACTTTCCTGTGCTCACCTTTCCATGTTCGTTTTGGGAAGTTAGGCGTTCTTCGGTCCAAGGAAAAAGTGGTAAGTCTGTTCTGAACTCTGCTGCCAGTTAAGACTTTTCACAGAAGTTGGAACTTTGCTTTCTTGTTTCCCCTATTTCATGCACGTTATAATTTAATTTGTTTTTTTAATACGTTATAATTTTTTATACATGTTATAATTTTTTATTCCGTTGCTTTGGATAGCTATTTGGCTGTCATTTTTTGTATTGGTTCTTTAGAGCCCATTCATATATTGGTGCATTGTTGCTGCACAATGATGCATTTTATGTTAAAGCAGCATATTCATTTTGAATGAGCCAGCAATATCCACAACTGACATGCATATTGTTTCTATATAATATGACAATCTGATACTACAATCCTACTAAGAGCCTCTAAAAAAAGATCAAGATGTTATTAAATCAAAAAGAACATATTTAGTCCTCATGCGCACTAGACGTTTTTACAGCGGCTGTTTTTGGCGTTTGACGTTTTTTTCTACAGCCAGTAAAGTCCTCAGCATGTTATCCTATGTGTCTATGCACACATAGACTGTAATCAATGTTTTTTGGCAGGGATGGTTTTTGACTAGGAAAACAACCCAGGACTAGTGGGTTTCTAGAGGAATTTTTTAGCTGTAAAAACGCTCTAACGCTGAAAAATGTGCAAAACGTGGTAAACCGGCGTTTTTGGATGTTTTTTGACCAAAATCTTTTGTATTTTTTGGGTAAAAAACTGTTAAACACAAACGCGGCTAAACTCTAATGCAAAAACGCTAAAAAAAAGCTGAAAAACTGATGTTTTTAACGTGACTTTACACAGCTAACATTACCAAAGTTATCAAAACACTCAGTGTGCATGGAAACTTAAGGCCCACTGCTACTCCAGTGATCTCCACTAGCTTTTGGGTCCTCTGCTGCTCCACACAATCACCATTCGGTGAATGCTTTGCATTTTATCAATGAATGCAATGCTTTTACACGAACCAATCAATATACACTTTATTTTTACCAAAGACATATAGCAGAATACATTTTGGCCTAAATTTATAAAGAAATGTTTGCTTGTTTGTTTTGTAACAGCAGAAAATATATATATTTTTTTCTTGGTCTTTTTTTTTTTCATTCATATAATAAGAAAAATTTAAAAAAAAAAACAATTGGTGATCAAATACCATCAAAAGAATGCTCTATTTGTGTGAAAAAAATAATATACATTTCATTTCGGTACAGTGTTACATGACCGCGCATTTTCCAGTTAAAGTAGCACAGTGCTGAAAAGCAAAAAAAATGGCCTGACCATGAAGGGGTTAAATTAATTGATTAAAAACTAATACAGGAAAATACCTCACCCCAAAGGGGGAAACAGACCTCAAGATTCGAAGCTAGTCACCGACTTGCCAATAATGAGTAGGGTGGGGTCCTCCAAAAATTATTAGGAGACCCAATAGACCCCCTAGAACAGAGGTTTAAAAAGAGAACCAACTGCGGCGTAGCAAAGTTAAACCACTTTATTGAGATCAATATAGGGAATGAGGCCAGATGGCCGACAATCTTCCATTCACCGTTAAAATAAGGTTATCTCCTTAAAACTCAAGCCCGGGCCACGCCCATGCACTCACAAACACTATATGTGATCACTCCGTCTATTTAGAGCATAAATTGCTGGGTCAATAATCTCCAGAGTCAGTCAATGAGTGCCAATTAGCACTGTAGCTTTCTATAGCTGGCCACCCAATCAACAGGCACACAGTGGTGATTTTAATGACTGATTCTGGAGAGTAGGCCCAATGGGTGAACATCAACATAATCAACAGTATCATATATTAAGGCATGTAAATCACATCTGGGTAAAGATAAAACCATGCTGGAACCATTAGGCAATATAGGAAGTCCAAGTCCAGAGGAGTAACCTCTGAAAAAGTGGGGTACCCCTGTAGAGGGTAAGATTATAAACTGAGATAAGGGCAGGATTGTGGAGCTCACTGCCTGAGTGTATTGTGCAGTAGGTGAGCTAATGAGGTAGCTCAGGTGTATCCAAGAGATGCCTGCAATTTATGTGAACAGACATGAGGGGCAGACACAGTAGTGGAAACAGCAAAAAGCTAGTTGAAGTTTGTGCAAAGGGTATAGATTGGTACAGCCCTTGTGGTGGATGAGGCCAATGACCATATGGTCTAAGATAATATTGAATTGTAGCACAGATGGCGGTAACCGCCACATGAAATGTGCCCACAGGCTCTCACCACTCCACACACTGTTGTTGCTCTCCTCAGTAATATCCAGACCTCCACTCAGGGGATGTAGCAGAGTTGAAACAAAGTATCTTTCTGGACCAAGCCGAAGTTTCGTGGGCTCCAAATACCAGCTAAGTCAGATGGAAAGTCCTTTTGTTGATAAACCTTAATGCGGAGATCAATGGTCATTGAATAGAAGGTACATGGGGGTATCCTCCATCCACATTGGGCAGGTACAAACATCACCACATTGGGCAGGTACAAACATCACCACATTGGGCAGGTACAAACATCACCACGTTGGGCAGGTACAAACATCACCACGTTGGACAGGTACAAACGTCACCACGTTGGGCAGGTACAAACATCACCACGTTGGGCAGGTACAAACATCACCACGTTGGGCAGGTACGAACATCACTGCTGGTGGGGGCGTGGCCCAGGACTGGCTGACGCTGCCTACATCAACACGTTTCACCCATGTGACCGTCAGCTTCGTCAGGACGTACGCACCCCTGGCCTCTTAAAGGGACTTTCATCCCATTCAGCCAATTGTAATGGCCGGGGGTGGTGACAGACAGATTCTTGTCTCTCCCAGAACTTTCCTTGTTCATAAACTGGGTACAGAATACAGATAAGCCATCTATTCAATGTCACATTAAGTTCAGAACTGGAAGTAGACATAAATGGCATTAACAAAGGTGATGTATCAAACGTAAACGATTTTAATGACTGGATTCTGGAGAGTAGGCCCAATGGGTGAACATTAACATAATCAACAGTATCAATACCAGTCATTAAAATCACCACTGTGTGTCTGTTGATTGGGTGGCCAGCTATAGCTAGCTACAGTGCTAATTGACACCACCCATTGACTGTGACTCTGGAGATTATTGACCCACCAATTTATGCTCTAAATAGACTGAGTGATCACATATAGCGTTTGTGAGTGTATGAGCATGCCCGGGCTTGGGTTTTAAGGAGATAGTTATCTTACCTTACTTTAATGGTGAATGGAGGATTGTTGGCCATCTGGCCTTATTACCTATATTGATCTCAATAAAGTGGTTTAACTTTGCTACGCCGCAGTTGGTTCTCTTTTTAAACCTCTGTTCTAGGGGGTCTATTCGGTCTCCTAATAATTTTTCATGAAGGGGTAAAACCTTCTGGAACTCAAGTGGTTAAGAGATCAGACGGAGCTACAGCCAGACACCACAGAGATCACAGGTACAGACCTAGATCTTGTCACCGGGTTTTTAAAAACTGCTTGTTTTCTAACCAAAATTAAGAAAAAAAAGGTTTTTGGTCAAGAGGTGCTTAATTTTTTCTTGTTCTCCTTCTTGAGTAGCTAAATAATTTACCTATTGTAGCAGTTTGTTTGGTTGCAAAACGTTGAATGCTATTTTCTTTTGTATGGTAGATTGACATAGAAATCAATGGAGAACCTGTGGATTTGCACATGAAGCTTGGTGATAATGGTGAAGCATTTTTTGTACAAGAAACAGAAGAAGAAGGTGTAAGTGTGAAAAATTTTCTTCCCTTGCAACTGTGTGAAAGCCTGCTGTATGTACTAAGGGGTTCACGCAAATATGATAAAAGGAAACTTTAATTTTTTTTTTTGGTTACTATATTTTACTATTTTATTCTTGAGCAAATTCAACAGATGCTTTGGCAGACTTAATAGTACAGTGTCATATACCTATCTGATTGTATTGACGATTACTACACTTTCTTATTGAATTATCTATGGTAGTTTGACATTGTCTTATGCTAATGTCTTTTTTTTTTTTTTTTTTTTTTTTTGCACTTTTTTTTTGCACTTTTTAAAACATTTTTTATTAGTTTCAATATTACAAAATTCGATGATCACATCATTCCACAAAACAATCCCTCTTTTCACATTGCACCCAAGATCCCCCTACCCAGTCCTAATCATACCCACCCACCCAATTTCTACCCCTATTTTTCCCAGTTCCTTCCCTTCCTCTATTAATCTCAAGATCTCCCTCTCTTCTACACTAACTTCCTATCTTCCGTTTCTCATCTTTTCCCTTTTCCTCTTTTTCACTTTTTTTCTTCTCCTTACCTCCTTCCCCTCTTTCCTTTTACTTTCTTTTCCTTTTCTTCTTTTTATACATGACCTCTCTTTTCATCATTCTTTAATCCTATAAATTCAAACATGAGATATTTCATGCTGCTAGATTGAGCGCAGAGCTAGGTTTTTTTTTTTTCTTTCAAAAGGCAGGCTATGCAAGGATCTGAAGGATGTCCAGGTGGCCAGGCTACAACTTGTAATGCTCCTGCAGTAAACCAGGATGATAGCCAAGTTGGTCAAAGCTGTACATTTGTCCGCCAGTTCACAAGGGAGGATGCATGCAGTTGTAGGCAGTTGGTGTCTGATGGGGCAGGACAGAGCAGACAGTGCAAATTAGGTGATTTCAGTGTACCTATTGCAATCCTTTGTCAGGGTGAATTAAAGGAATAAGGGAAGGCCAAAGCTGCCAGCTTACTTAGGGTCCTCATTAAGCATTAGTTCATTTGTGATGGTTGTATGCTGCTGGTATGAGGTTTTAGCAGTCTTAAATCCTTAAAATCCAGTCATGAAGATTCTATTTTGATGAAATTGTTCACCAGCTCATACACAAAGAGGGTGAAAGACTTTGAGGGGCGTCACTGAGTGCAGACTGTTAACTCTTTAATTGTAAACAATAGTGTAAATGAACACTCACATTGTGAAGGATAAAATAAGGCACATCTGTAGTCCAATGCAATGGCATCCGGGAGTGGTTGGCATTTGCTGCAGGTGATTGCCGTCCAATTCTTAGGTCTGGAGATGGGACCGAAAAAACGCTATGTATGTATGTGGAACGCAGGTACACAGTGGTTTTCGGTCTCATCTTCTGACAGCCGGCCTCTGGACCTAGGAACTGGACGCCAATCACCTGCAGAAAATGCTAACCACTCCTGGATTCCATTGCATTGGACTACAGATGTGTCTTATTTTATCCTTCACAATCTGAGTGTTCATTTACACTATTGTTTACAATTAAAGTATTAACAGTCTGCACTCAGTGGCACCTTCTTTATTCCTTTTTTACAAGTGACATTGGAGATTTGCTTCTGCTCTACTTGGAGGCTGCTTTGAGGTATTAACCGTTTTGTGGTCCTCTATGGTCTTTCTACTGGATCCACCAAGTGGCCCTTGTCCCCCTTTTCCCTCTCTCCCTCCCCCTCCCATCGTGCCCTTTTTATCTCTTACACCCCCGTGGGACTATGGACATCTAATTTTGCGTCAACTCACCTCATGTATGAAACACTTTGGGGTCCAGCTCTAATAAGAATTCTGCCACCATGAGTTGGAACTTTAATTTTAAATTCATAAATGTATTTGTGGGGAAAGAGAAATGTATGTGCTTGGTGGTGCATGTCCTGTCCTGGTTAAAATGGTATGCTGTGCAAATATTACTATTTTCCAAATGAAAGTTTGTCAGAAAAGAAGAGGTTACTATAAACCATAAAATTAGGCTAGTGATGTGTTTTTTTTTTTTGTGTTTTTTTTCATGGGGTTAAATTTGCATTTTTAGACTGAAAATATTTTCCAAGTATTGTGTATAACCCCAACTTATGTGCAATTTTCTCTGCACTCCATCGTTATATGGACATTTAAAGTATTGGCAATAAAGGTGGGGTATGTCTCATGCCCTTTGGCACCCTGGCTACTTAATGGGGAGATCACTTCTTTATCGCTTTACATGGGATTCAGAATCAGGCTTTTTTTTTTTTTAAGGCCCAATTCACATCTGAGCTATCTGGTGTATTGTGTTAACGTGTGTAGTGTTAGGGCTGCCTGCTTATTTGAATGGGCTGCCAATGCACCATAGCAAAAAAGAAAATGCACCTGCTCTAGTTTAGCAGACGTAACCCAGCCAATGCATGGTGCAGCATTACATGTTGTAATGTGATGTGCTGCAAAAGTAGGGGTGTTAGAGATGCGCTCCTCTAGTACTTTTGAGTGCCATTTAAAATGAAAGATGCTACAATATTTGCTTTGGCACAATGAATGGGTGTGAATGTGGTCTAAAAGTGTGAACTGTCATTAGAAGAATATCTTGCTAAGAGTATGGTGTTTGAAGACACCCCATATAGCAATTGTGTCATTCCTATGCAAGCATTGGTCAGCAGTTTAAGTAAGATTAAGGCCACAATGCTAGTAGTATGTAGTTTTACCTTTTTCATGTTTTTCTATTCTGTTTTGCATTTAGGAACAGGTTCCTGCATACCTGGCTACCTCACCTATACCTACAGATGACCATTTTTTTATGAATGTCCATAGCCATTTGCCAAACTCAGGGGAAGATGAAGAAACTTCTCCATTGTCTCACACCACAGAGCCTGAGAACATTAGCACAGGGTCTGTGAAAAAGAAGAAGAGGAAAAGAAGGAGAGTTAAACATGACAAGAAGGAGGATGTTCCCCTTACCACTGGAGCTGAGGAAATATTTGAAATTGAAATCAGCTCTGATGAGGAGAGTCCAGTTCATCCACCAAGGTAACGTACCACAGTTGTGTCTGTGAAGGTTCTTATTTATCCAGGTAATGGTATAGCTGGCAGTATCTGATCACATTCAGCTGGACTTGTACTGTTGAAGACATTTACTGCTCATCATAATCCAAGTAGCTTCTTCATACGCCAGCGTTTATAGCCACACAAGGTAACTCAGTCACTTTAAACCAATCATTATGGAATGTATCAATGCAAATGTTGATTGTTCAAAAATATGAAGGGAGGTCTGAAAGTTTGAGACTGGCCAGTTCCAATTACATAATCCAATCACCATGGTGCCAAGGATAGGTAGGCCAGTCTGGGATAGGTGTTCATTTTTTAAGCTACATGATCAAAATTGTGAACGGTTGTCATTTCACCAGGTAGAGATTTTAAAACCACATTATATGAAGATGACAGATGGTGTCAAAGGTTTCCTTCCCCTGCGAAGGGGTGGATGTCCAGAATGTTGTGGATGGCCTCTTTCACACCTTTTCGAACATGTACACCTCACTACCATTGAAAGAATGACACTTTTCTTTATCAATCATTAGGGACACAGGATCAGAAGGAATTCTGAGACCCTGTCAGATACACAAAGATCAATCAGGCTTTGTCCCTTTACGCGAGCCGCGTGACAACATGATCCGCATCCTTAATCTGATTCACGCCGCCAGGATCTCAAAGACCCCACTCATATTGCTGTCAATGGACATGAAAAAAGCATTTGATAGGGTCCATTGGTTCTTTATTCGGGAGCCCATGAAGCACATAGGCCTTTGGGCCCTCGATGCTTTGGTAGATTCTTCACCTTCTGCTGCTGTAAAAGTCAATGAGACCAGATCCGATTTCTTCCCAATCTCGAATGGGATGAGACAGGGGTGCCCCCTCTCACCTCTCATATTCATTCTCACGCTGGATCCTCTCTTATGCAAAGTACGTGTGAACCCCAATAGCAGGTTATCAGAAGTTCTCTGGGACGCATAAGGTGGCAGCTTTTGCCGACGATTTGATTTTCTTTGTTATGGATCAGCTCATTTCTTTACCGAACCTCCTCCGATCCCTGAAGGAATATAGGGAGCTGTCACATTTTAAAATTAACTTGGGCAAGTCTTCTGCGCTAAACGTCTCTACAGACCCAGAAATTGTTTGCAGCTTACAGCCTTTCTTCCCCTTCAAATGGGCGCATGATGCGATCAGGTACCTAGGGACCAACATCACCCCAGACCCAGCCAAGCTTTACTCAGAAAATATTGAAACTCTTCTTATTAAGCTTAAAGAAGATTTACTGCATTTGCACTCCTAGATGCTGACTTCGCTCGGTTACTGCAATCCCATTAAAATGGCCATACTTCCCCGGATTCTTTACTTGTCTAAAGCTGTCCCCATTTGCTTGCAATCTTTTTTCCAGGTCTTTGTCTGGTCCCATAAGAGATCACACCAGAAACTACACAGTCTTTCCTTGCCTATATCCTTTGGAGGGTTGGCCCTTCCAGATATTCACACTTACTAGCAAGGCAGTGCACATTACCAGGATAATTAACTGGCATTGTTATGGAAATGTAAAACTTTGGGTCTCTATGGAGATGGAGGACTCCCAGAGTACCTCAACGAGTTGGCCCTGGATTGCATCCCTACTACCTAAGGAGTTGTGTACACATCCCACCCTCGGCAGCACTCTCCGAGTTGCAAAAGCGACATTTCACAATACTGCGGTCTCTCCGCCTCTCACCTATGATTCCATTCGTGGGCAACCCAGAATTTATTCCCGAACTCCAAATGGGGTAATTTCATCGCCTCCCAAGTTCAAGGTTGTCTGATTTTCTACGATCAGAAGGGCGGTTGATTGCCACTGATATCACTCGCCTGGCTGACCCCTCCCCTGGGTTTCTGGGGTGGACTTCAGTTGCGCCACTTCCTTCGTCAGCTTTCTCTCTCTCCGAGTATCTTTTGGTCGCTAACTGGATTCTAATCGATATGTCGTGCGGGGGATCCAGTACGCCATTCCCTTTCTTACTCTGACACGCTAACACACCTTGGTGAAGATTACATACCTCCCTTTCTTGCAAAATGGGAATCTGATCTTGGTATGAGTTTCACCCCTAGCCAGAGGAAGAAAATGCTTCATTTTGCTAAAAGTCTTCTATAGCCATGAGGTTTCAGGAATCTAGTTACAAAATGCTTACCAGATGGTACAGGGTCCCTACTCCACCGTATCTTCCCACGGATCCCAGATACTTGCTGGTGCTGCGATGCAGAGGGGGAACAATGAACTGTATTTGCTGGTTGTGCGTGGGAATCCAGCCATTTTGGCGAGCTGTGATCTCAGTCAGCAAACATGGAGGAGTCCTGCATCGAAATATGGAGACCATGGAACTATTTTGTGTACACTGATTTGTATCTCAATGAGCTGTCCGGTTCCCAGTAAAGCCTGCTCTGCTGTATCCTGTGCGGGAGAGGGACAACTCTGTTACCCTTCTCCCACTTCCCCCCTTTCCCTTCCTCTTCCTTCTTTTTTTTCTCCCTTGCTACCAACCCTTCCCCTTCCCCTTTCCCTCTTGGGAACTCCCTGATGTTGACTTTGTTTGCCATGCCCTAACTCTATTGTGTCCATAGAGCCACTGACATTACAAGCTAAAGAAGAGTATGCTGTCCTGGTTTCATTGGTTGTGGTTTGCTGTTAGGTGCCCACATAACTTGATATGGATCCCATATTCCTGTCATATGGATACCTAACAATCCGGTGTTGATATACCCCTTATCTGCTGCCTGTTTTTGCCTTGCTCATATATATTTGTATTACCCGAGTACCCACTTGTGAATGATCATTGTCTGTAGTCACTGTCATATGAATATAAAGGAATTACAAAAAAAAGAAGGAATTCCCAGACAACTACGGTATACTGCCTTCAAAAGAAATCGACACTGGCAAACAAAAATGCTGTTAGCCAGCCAGGTATAACCCCTCCCACTCACATGCATGCTTTAGTTTCTTGCTAGCATTCCAGGAGAATTTGATGTTTTTCTCCCCAGGATAACAAGCTATTTTTTCTTCAAGGGTTTATGTATTCTGTGAATCCAAGAGAATTCATCTTGCAGTTTTCTGGAAACTACTGATCCTTGGTGCTGTCTTACCTGGACCTTACTGTGATGAAGATGTGGGGCTTGCATGTAAGAAGAAAAAAGCAACCGGATGCCTAAACGCGTACGCTGGACAATGTCTGTAGCCCCACATGGAGTATTTAAGGAATGTGAGCCTTACTGCCCTCAGCAGATCAGGGAAATTCAAAAGAACTGCATACAAAGAAACAAAAAGAGGGTGCACGAGCCTAGTGCACTACCTTTTTAAAATAGAAATTATTTTTTTTTATATAGTCTGGCTGAAAAAAAGACCATCCAGTTCAACCATAAAAAAAAAAAAAAAAAAAAAAAAGGTTCTAATCCTACACCCACAGTTGATCCAGAGGAATGCAAAAAACATCCAGCAAAGCACGATCCAATTTTCTCCTGCAGGGTAAAAAAAATTCCTTCCTGATCCCGAGAGGCAATCGGCAAAAAATATTATACTCACAAAAGAATAACATCAAAAGCATGTCACTAGAAATAGAGCATGGTCCAATCTCCCTGGAAGATGTCTGTGGGGGACTGTAGACCTCTTAATGGCTGACGCGTTTCAAGGCTATACCTCTCTTTTTGATAAATACCTGAAAAAAAACTAAAATTGTGCCTGTATCCAAATATATGGACCTAACTGTATGAGTAATCACCGCGAATGTCAGATCATGGACAGTAATTCTAGCACTAGGCCTCCCCTGTAAGTCTACAGTGGTAACCTGTAAAGGTTTTTTATGCGTCGCCTATGGATAGTAAAATTTGCTTCATTTGTTGCTGTTGCACGGGTTTGGTATCTGTTTACTCGACGTAACATCTTTTATATTTTACAAAAAATGTCATTTTTTTACCAGAAAATTGCATTTAAAAAATTGCTGAGACAATTCCATTTGACATTAAAAACAAATTGCAAAACCCACCAATTTATTCTCTAGAGCCTCTGCTTTAAAAAAAAATATTGTTTGGGGGTTGTAAGACATTTTCTAGCAAAAAATACACGTTACATGTAAGCAAAAAGTGCCAGAAATGGCTTGATCTTACCACTTTAAATTGGTCTGTTTGAGTTGTTTGCAATTATTATTATTATTATACAGTATTTATAAAACGCCAATAGTTCGCTCAGCGCTGTACATTACAAAGGGGGACAGAACATGACAGAACAATACCAATACAATGCAAAACATGAGGGGATCGAGGGCCCTGCGCAATTAATAGTTTATCCACATGAGGGCACCCTTAGCATACCTGTTTAGATGAGCTAATTGAAATAATTCCTAATTGGCTCAGTTTCTGCAGTCTTCGTTACTCTTTATATTACTGTGAAAGGTGTGACAAACATTCCTCTCACAATGTTGCCGAATTAAAGAAATCCTATCATGAGACAAATATGGAACCTGCCATTGCTGACATCTGAAAATCCTCGTTGCCTTGCTGTCATGCTTACAAGTCTTCTTTAGTACTTTTGAGATACTAAAATAGAGCAAGTCTGCAGAAGAAGGCTTCTTCCTTTTTCTCTGAATCTCCTGATCTGCATACGTTTTCCGAGTCAGTGAATTAGAAAGTACAGAAGCCAGCGGGTTAGTATAAGAAGCAGGTAATTAACATTTTTACAAGGCGGTCAGCGGCAGCTCCCAGGCTTCATTCAAAGCAGGCTTACTTTAAGAATATTTGAACAATATAACAATTAATCCTTTTATTGCCATGGACTTAGTAGATGTGTGTCCTTCCAGTAGCAGTCAGTGCATTTGAAGGAACTCCAAGTATGGGGTATTATCGCACAATGTATGAAATACAAAGAACAGGGGATTGAGGAGAAGACTTAATATTTCATCTACAGTAATGTTTTTTTCTTTCTCAAATGAGCATGATGATTTATGTTGCCATTAATAGGGCTA